CGGCAACTCCCATGATTCCACACTCAGTCACGGTGTCATCAAACTACGCCTTTGTCTCTGTTTATTTTGAATACGCGCCCTCTAGCGGCGAAAATGACATATTGTGCCTTTTAAGTTAGCAAAAAATTATATAAACAGCATAATTTGCAATTAAAAGTAATTCTAACAGGATGGAAATAAAGTGCTAGGAAGTTAACTATTGCTTAATTGTTTTAAATTAGGGTGTAATTATTTTCCAGCTTCTGTAATTTTATGTAACGAGATACAATGTTTTAACATGTCTAGAGAGAGAGAGAGAGAGAGAGAGAGAGAGAGAGATAGATAGATAGATATCAGACAGACAGACAGACACATAGACAGATAGATCTTCAAACATTAAAGACAAGAAGCCATAAGTTCATTGTGAATTAATCTTTTATTAAATGAATATAAAAGCTACATTAAAATACAGACATTCCCTAAATTATTGTTTGAATAATAGGTTTGGAGAATCCTACATTCATACATTAACATTGACTTATGTAAAGTTGGTAGTGCATATCAGCAACACGTGGTCAGAGACATGGAAGGAGGAGTCAGGCAGGGCCTGGTTTAATTGTCAAATGACAGTGTTTCACTGAGCAGTTATGAAGTGAGCACACTTTGTTCCATGACCAGTTCCTCAAGCGCTCAGATTAGCTGTGATTCTCGCACTTGACTTGCTGTCAATGGGCAGGTGATGAAGTTTCTCTCGTTCAGTGCCACATGCCTTTGTTTACAAACACAGAGAGATAGTTATTCAGGGTGTGCATCAAAATGACTTTCAGAACAATAATTGCAGGGACAGTCCCATGATCACAATGATAATGGCCAGAGTCTTTGTACCAGCCCAGGTCATGGTTCACTTACGAAATCGAACCTGCGACCTGCTTGAATATAAAACAATGTTTAAAAAATTGAACGTACATGCTTCAATGAATTGCATAACTAACATTACAACAAGCATAGATTCAAAACAACAAGGGCAATAATGCATATCCCGTGTATGGAGCCTTATGTGAACCATTACATTAACGTAGCCACAAAAACAACCCACTGTAACAACTGTTCTTATGGGCCCTGCAGCTTGTGCTATACAAAACTGAGCACTAAAAGCATGAGGTGTTCTCAGCTAAAGGCACCTCAGGCAACAAGAGCACTCTCGTCCTTTATTTCCTCGCTCTCGTCTCTCAGGAGCGCTCGAAATATCACTTTGCCCTGCTGTGCCATTCACTTTGGTCTTTGCTGAACATCATCTTGCTATTAAAATCACTCAAAAAATAATTATGTTCAATGAACCTACTTTGACTTATAATATAATAACATTAAAATCTGCTAATGCAATTTTTTTTAAATAAAACATATTTTTAACTTTTTAATCAACCTAAACACTAAAAATAAAAGTTTTGGTGCTCTAACCAATTTTTTTTTTAAACTGTGATATAGTTCCTCTTCTGTCCATCAAAACGCCAAGCTTTAAAAGTGTTTTCTATCTGAAGAGCATCACAAATCCATCAGCTAGAGCTATGAATAGGGCCGATCTGCTTCCACATCACTACGTCCAGACAACACAAGCCCAGTGGTGGCAAAACGGCACGCTAAGCATGCTTTCAGATTAAAAACACTTCATCACGATGTGTCTCTCTCAAGCTCCACAGCCTGAGACCTCTGCAGTCCATCATATGATGGGAGTATGAAGCATGCATTGCATGTCCATATGGACCAGCTGCTTCCCACTGCATACCCTCTGGGGTCCACAGCAATTGTGTTTAAGCAGATTATCCTGCAGAGTTTAGCTGTTTGTCGGCACTGTGAGGTGCAGGAGGCCCAGCGAGAGCCATTGAGACAGAGCGGCCTGGTGGACAATGGAGATGAGGAACGGCCAGACCCAGGGGAAGACAGCAGGTATGGACTGTCTGGAAACCTAGAAACTGAGCACCAGTAATCATAAGTGACAGATGCCTCTATTTGCAGCCGGGGCGGTATATAATAAATAATAAAATAATGAAAATGAAACGGTAAATAATGAAACCTTACTTTGAGAATGACACACAGAATGCTATCTGAGAGACATTAAATGGATAGTCCATTCAAAAATCACTGTTTTCTGTGGAACACAAACAAAGACATTTTGAAGAATGTTGGTAACCAAATAATTTTGGGTCCCATTGACTTCCATATGGACAAAAATACTATGGAAGTCAATGGGACCTGAAACTGTTTGGTTACCAACACTCTTCAGAATATCTTCTTTTGTGTTCCACAGAAGAAAGAAAAACATACAGGTTTGGAATGACATTAAGGTGAGTAAATGATGACAGAACTGACATTCTTTGATGGACTATCCCTTTAAATCACATATTCAAACTTGACACACCAGATTTGACGTCAGTGACACCAAACACCACTGGTTCTTGTGTACAATTTTGAATATGCAAAATAATTCTCCTATATTCCTCACACAAACCCATTCACCTTTACAGCTTAAGACGACGTCAAATGTAGTGCATCAGTTATATTAACAACTTTTTTGGTGCTTTTTGTCATTTATGTTCACTTGGGGTCCTATAATATTTTCTGGATTGCGTTTTAATGATTATATTACATTCTTGTAATCAAAAAGCATGTCCAATTAATAAAAAAAGGGCCCTATGAAATCTGTTTTATTTTTTCCAAAATTCTGCGTTTTCGGTTTTAATTTTTCTAGATTTATGATTTAATACAAATGTATTATCAAAAATAGTGGTAATCAAATGAAGGCACGAAACATTAACAATTTAATGATTATATTATTATTACTTTGTGAAGTACATACTGCTGTACAACAGCAATGCATTTTATATATTTTAATTTTAGTATTTTCTTCAAGTTTTAGTTCATACTGCGATTTATTTGAGTGTACTGTAAATCATACTACTGAATTATTCATCCAAATTTTGCAGAAATCATAGGGCCTTAGTCACTGCATGCTTTCGCTGTATGGAAAAGAGCAGCATGAACATTCTTCAAAATTTCTCCTTTTCTGTTACATGGAAAAAAGTAAGTCATACGGGTTTGGGATTACTTTTTTGATCAAATGATGACACCACGTCTCCCCTAACATCTACCTAAACTCCTTTTGAAACAGGCACAGGCACTCTTTTTAATGCACTCGACCGGCTGCTGTTGGTTAAAAGAATGTGGAACAAAATGGAAAAGCTAGTAAAGACCCAATTTAAGCACCTTTGCAGATGATGGGTGTGAGCGAATATCTACAAATCTTTTCTTCGTTAACAAAAGAACCTTGGTGGCCTCCTGACCCTGGACAGCATAACACTGGCCAAGTGCGACTTGGACATGAACATACGTGAACGGGTTGGAATGATGTGACACAGCCCTGAAGGCAAAGCCTGTAAAGCAAAACGATAACCTGTGAAGCAACAACTACATGAATACCAGACATCACACAAACAAACTTGCAGTTGGGATTTTCGACATTTAAACATGGGAAAAAACTGATATTTTTAGTATTCTAAAATATTTAAATATTTAATGTAATCCAATATTTCACTCAAAACATGTAATAATACTATAACCGTCATATTAAATAAATATATTAAAAAAGAAAAAAAAGAAAAGCATGCACAATATAAGCTTTGCACTAGTGGTCTTGGACTTTTGGACTCTTCAGATGTAATTGCGGATGCACTAGTTATCAATAATCATGCTTAAATTACCTTTAGGTGGCTAAACTTAATTTAGTATTCATATGGTCACAATGGGAGTGAGCTGGGATTGTGGTTTTGGTGGACCTTGTACTGTACATTTGAGAAGCCATTAACTACCAGAGACAAAGCCAACAACTGCACCTGGGTTCAGGTAAAGATATAGGGCCCTATGAAATCTGTTTTATTTTTTACATTTTCCACTTACTTAATTAGTTAATTCCACTTGTTCCATTTTTTTCTGGACTCCATTTTAATTGTTAAATTAAAGTTTATTAATCAAAAAGCATGTCTTGAAATCATGAAACTTACCAATTCAACAGCAATTTATTAAATATTTAACAAAATTTACAATTTTAGGGCCCTATGAAATTCATTTTATTTTAATTTTTTTACCTGGTAATCAAATTAATGTAAAAAAACTTTAATTCAATTTTTCTTGTAATCCAATGAAAATAAAACCCTTTCAATTTTTTTGGCAAACGAAGTGCTGCACAACAGGTGTACTGTTAAAACACGGAAGAAAAATTGTGTTATTATTCCTTTGAAAATAACGTTTTAATAATAATTTTATTAGTAGTAGTAGCAGTATTACATTAAGACATTTTACTGTACAAAAGTAAAATATTTCTGTCACAATTTCTTCAAGTTTAACCGGTCTTTTATTTTGACGTGTTGCCATAAAGAGATTTGTTTGTGTGTATATGATATGACGACAGTTTTGCTAAAATGAAAGAGTCAAATGCTCATGAAGTGACGCTCGCAGTGTTTTCAGCATCTGCCTCCTTACTAAATGAGGACATAAATACATGAAATACATGAATCTCCAGAGCTTCTCTGAAAGGAGCAGCTCTGGAGATTCATGTATTTCATGTATTTATGTCCTCATTTAGTAAGGAGGCAGATGCTGAAAACACTGCGAGCGTCATGCGCGCTTCAGTATGTGTAGTAAACAAAACCATTCATTCACACAGAGACACTCAGAATATGTAGGATTCAAAAGTCTTTTTGCAGCTTAATTTTGACAGACATTAGTCCTTATCACATTTTGATTTAAGGGTGCTTTCACACCTGTAGATCGATTGCTTTGTTCCGAAAGGGATTACAATTATTACAATGTTGCTTTTTATTCTTGGTGCGGTTCGCTTTCACACGGCAAAATTTCTAAATGGACCCAATTTGTTCATTCAAGTCACACGCGAGTAAACTGTCCTCTCATTGGACAACAGCTTCGCGGGCTTATTGTTGTTTTTTTTTTGTAGCTGTCATTATATTAATTTATCATTTTGAGCAGGAGTCCAGGATTCATCGGGAAAACATTTTTTAAATGCACCTACTAGGAAGAAGAGCAATAAGACGGCATTCTAAAATGAAAAAGTGCGCTTTGATTTTGGCGAAAACGTGCTCACCCACAGACATTCACAGGTTCATTTTGAGGTATTAGCAAAACAACAAAGCTAATGCTTTTCACGGAACTTACGTAATTACCCATCATAAATTGTGATATAGCCTGGTTCGTTGGTCCGTTAGATCAGATTGTTTTATCACTACAACCGAACCGCTCCAGAGTTCCTTTCCAATCGAGCCGAGACCACCTCGTTCAGGCGATCTTGGATTGATTGTTTTGGCGCGGATCCGAGCGCGTGTTCACACATGCCCAAACGAACCGAGCTAAGGGGGGAAACATGCCAGGTTCCGAAACAACGGGCCAGGTGTGAAAGCACCCTAAGTGTACTGAACTACTTTTGAGTTATTCGTCCAAAATTTGGCAAATTCCGTGACATTCCAAGTTATACAGTAAATTACATTTTTATGACTGAATCATAGGGCCCTAGACATACAAACATATTCAAGCAACTAAAAAATAACTGCACTAAAAAAAAAAGACAAATTATAATTTAACTAAAGTGGAATGAAAAGGATCCCAGAATTCACTGCCACAAGGTCAGAGATTTTTCAGAAATCCATCAAAATCCCAAAAGTATAAATAAAAAAAATCTTCAATTTAGATAAAGTTCAATTCAAAAAAACTTTTCCCCTCAATATACTTGTTTGTGAAATGTATTTCTGTGCATATTAAAAGTTACTAACTGTGCACTAATTATGTTTACTACAGTATTGTGTTGTTATCTTAGCATTTTCATTCAAACTCTATTAAAATCAAAGTGTCAAATCTCCTGTGCATTTCAAGTTGTTGCCTATGTAGATAGTTTCAAATCAGTCGAGAAGTTCATTTAAAGTGCTGCATTGGAAGAGAGCTAAAGTATTACTCACCTCTGCCTAAGTTACATTTACAACAACCGAGTGACCATGCACTTTAAAAACTTCGCACGGACTCAGGTTTCTAGATGGCTGAAAACATTCCCTAATGACCCAGTCCACTGGGGCAGACACAGCCTTCTAAACAGCAGGGTGATGCTGGGAAATCAGGAGCTAAGCCATGAATAAGTAAACACCACTCACGCTTAGTGTTGTTAATCATGGGAGTTCATACTGCACGTATTTCCCTTGGGATTTGATCCCAGCACATCTTTCCTCAATATTGTTTATGCAACATCTAGAGCACAGCCACCAACACAGTCACCTGAATCTCAATGTGATCAGATAAGATCAGCAGTTCCTTGATCAGCTTTCCTACTTTCGTTCAGTGTTGTTGCGTAACCATCGCACCCGACCGAACGACAATGGCTATCGCACCCCTACCCAACAGCCCGACACGAACCTACACGCATAGACGATTGTGTGCTGTATTTCAAGCCATGTATCCCATCACTGCATTGGCAGGGTTGCCAGATATGCTGTAATCTTTTCCCCTGGAAACCAGATACAGAAGAGGAAGATCAAACGCTGGGCATGGGATCACATGTCTCCGCTGCTCGTACGGAGCGTGACGCACACATGGCATACAGGGACAGAGGTTTTTCCCATAGCCTCCCACACTCTGGCTCTTTTCAGAGGTGGGACGTCTGGTAATCACATGATTAGGAAAAGAACCACAGCACAGATTCAGCCAGGTTTGTGAAGATTGGCAAGCTGTGGTGGGAAGAAAAAAAAAACACATAAAAATGATTCCACTGGAAGCACTGTTAACTTCAAAGGAGGAAAAAAGTTCAAAGTACAATTTTTCCTCCGATTAACTACTTATACAGGAATCATTCAAATATTAAAATATGTATAAAATATAGAGGTTTTAAAATATATATACTTGCAAAGTATACTAATATACTTTCTAAATATATATTTTTATAAAGTATATTTGTTGGTTTTTGTTGGTTAGTGTGGGTTTTATTATGTTCATTGCTAACATCTAGTGTTGTCAAAAGACCCGGTATTTCGGTACCATAGCATGTTTTTGTGTTTTGCTTTGGTACCGAAATTGGTACCGAGAACCGTGGATTTTCACTGGTATTGGTACCGAATACTGAAATTTTGGTACCGTGACAACACTACTAACATCTGGTAAAAGTATATGCATATATGAATGAATTCTAGAGCTGTGTGGAACAATTTGCAAATTGGATATATGTTTTAGGAAATCCTGTTATGGCCACCAATGATATATAAAAAAGAAGTGGAAAAATTAAAATATAAAATACATTTTATATACTATAATTTAAAATAAAATAAAAACAGAACAGAAATAAATAAGAACAGAAATAAAATAACAAAATGTATTAAAGACAAACACAAAATAAAATATTTAAAAGAAACCAAAAAGAAACAAAAACAGAAAAAAAAGAAACAAAACCAAGCAAAACAAAGCAAAAACTAAAATAAAATAAAATAAAAGCAAAACAAAGCAGAAATGAAATAACAAATTGTATTAAATACAAAATATGTTTAAAAGAAACAAAAGCAGAAAAAGGAACAAAACTAAGCAAAAAGCAAAACAAAGCAAAAACTAAAAAATATATATAAAAAAATATAGCTTAAAAGAAATGCACAAAAAACCCTAAAAAGAAACAAAAAAGAATAAGAAAACAAAACTGAGATAAAAGCAAAACAAGCAAGCACAACCAAGTGACACAGATTAACAAAACTAATTGTATGCTGTTATTGGACACCTCTGAAACCAAAAAGAAAACCATGAGACTAAATTTTCTTTATGCTGAATTTGTTTCATTGTGTTTGCATTTTATGTGCAACAAGGGACTTTTTTATAAAACAAGAAACCTGCTGGAAGAAACCAGAGTCTCTTAGCCTGCATAAAAGTTTCTTTTTACCTGATTCTCTATGCATGTGAATGAAGAAAAATGCAGTTAGACCACTTTTATACTTCGAGGTAGCAATTAAGATGTTCCTGGCAAGGATTCTGCTTTAGGAACTTTATTTTGAACTCCTTATTAACTGCATTATTGGTTCACGGGAGGATTAAAATTCTCAGCAGGTGATGCTGAAACTAAAGGAACAACATGTTTGTTAAAAACACACACACACACGTGCACAGACACACACATAAGAGAACGACCTTCGCAACAACCTTACAGTCCCAGTCAAGGAAAGTTTCACGCTCCCCCTGACATCATTACAAGTGCTACTAAGGACAGTGCAAAGGCACCAGGAAGGTGGATGTTAAAAGTTAAAAGGCCAGATGCTTGTTTTCATAGCTGGTGTGACTCATCTGCTCCTGTGTCAGCTCCTTCCATAGAAGGGGGCAGGTGGAAATGGCAGGACGTTGGCCTCTAGAGGCCCGAGGGTTTAAATACAGCCTGCTGACATAACTGACCGGAGATCAACGCTTCTGCTTCATTTTTCCGCCACACCTACTGTTTTTCCGCCTGATCCCAGAGGGTAAAGATGCTGGATGTAAAACGGTGACACAGTCAGGGCTCAAAAAAGGGATGCAGGCATAACAATTTATTTTTATCCTCATAACGCTCATAAGCTATCTTTATCTTCCTTTTTTCCAGTGACAGAGACGACACGGGCCTGCTTAGTGTGAACATGGAGGAACTTGTAAAGGTAGGAATTCTGATAAATATAGAGACGCAACAATATTAACATTTCAATACAGATAACGTCAACATTGTTCATGTTACAGCCAATAACAAATAAATTGTCGATATTAAAATGTACACTGTTTTGTCTAAATAAATGACAAAAAAAACACTACAAAAATTATGCTGTAAGTGAATTATTCATTGCAACATAATGTACAATATGAAAAATAGATATTCATTTTAAAATTCGCTAAAGGACATTTTCAGCAAATTTAAGTAATTAAATTATGAGTGTTTTTAAAGATTAACTTCAGGTGAGTGTTCGAAGACAATTAAATATCATTTATTGGCTGATATATATCCAAATGTAAAAAATTGTATTGATATTGATATAATATTGTATATCTTTGAATAAATATGATTTTTGACTTTTACCTTGCAAAGTATACTTACAAGTCCTGACAATTTATTTAATTTCTTATTATTATTTCTCTTTTGTATTATTTAATCTTTAAATAAAAAATAAATGGCAACTGGGAAGAAAAATACCAGTTATATTTACCATTACTTAGATACTATTATAGTATTTATTAAAATTTTGAATTAATTTTCAAATCAATTTTAGTTTTGATCATTTGTATGTGCTTTTGTCATTTGCATTTTTTTTCATTCTATTTAATGTTAATTTGTTTTTCATTTCAGTATAAAATTTTAGTAGATTTGAATACTTCAAAACCTAAGTAAAAATGAGCAATGTTGCAGCTAAATGAAATAATATACGTTTTTTTTTTTTTTAATCTAATATTTATATTTTTTTAGGGCTGTCAAAACGATTAATTGCAATTAATCACATAGAAAATAAAAGTTATATATGCATATATTGTAATAATATGTATATATTTAATAATATACAGGTGCATCTCAATAAATTAGAATGTCGTGGAAAAGTTCATTTCAGTAATTCAACTCAAATTGTGAAACTCGTGTATTAAATAAATTCAATGCACACAGACTGAAGTAGTTTAAGTATTTGGTTCTTTTAATTGTGATGATTTTGGCTCACATTTAACAAAAACCTACCAATTCACTATCTCAACAAATTAGAATATTCAGTCTGTGTGCATTGAATTTATTTAATACACGAGTTTCACAATTTGAGTTGAATTACTGAAATAAATGAACTTTTCCACGACATTCTAATTTATTGAGATGCACCTGTATATGTAATATATATTTATATATAAATCATATATAAATATGTACTGTATATATATATATATATAAGCAATTAATCGATTTGACAGCCCTAATTTCTTTTTTAATTCAATATCCAAAAACCAAAATGGGGCAGATATACTGCATACCTTTAAATATGATACGTTTTTGACTTATACCTTGCAAAATATATGTGCAAGCCCTGACAATTGCTTTGTTTTTACAAAAATTCTTGACTTCCTCGCTGAGATCAAAACAATCCACAGGTATGCCACTCAAAAGTGGTGAAAAAAGCCCCTAAAACTTCCATTTACCTCATTAAAATTTCACCTTTCATGGTTCCCTGTGCTTACATTTAAATCCTTATGCACTGTAGAGAATCCATACAGTCGCATTAATCACTTTGAATGTGAGGGATTGGGTCCAGATTAAAGCATCATTATAACTAACCCCTCTTCAACGAGTACAAAAACCTGCCAAACCAAAGCAACGTGGCCACCTGTCAGTTTAATCCCATCCCAAAGCAGAGAGAATGTTAAAACACATTCATTATTGTTGGCACCAGCGAACAAATGTTTATGATGGAGGATCAAATGCCTTCACTCCGCCTACACAAAGCAAAGATGTATTAATCTTGAAAGTAAATGATTCAGTACCTGCTTTGGGTTTCTTGACATTCATCATTCTTGCTGCTCTCCGGCCCCACAAACGTTTGAGCTGCTGTCTGTTGAGATCTAGAGCTGCGATTCTTCAGCAGGAGGGAACTTCCTCGTCCGGACTGACCTCGGCTCCTTCTGCGAGCCACTTTACCCACGGGCCCTGACCTCACATGCCAGGCCGAAGAGCTGGAGCTGTGAAGAGACAGAAATCAGTACTCAAAACTTACTTGGGGACACACAGTGTATGGCCATTCACAAATAACACATTTTTACATTTCATTGCCCTGCTGTTCCATTGTTTTTCTATGTAAACACATGCTAGATGGACATGTTTGAGGAAAGAAACTCATACAGGTTTAGAACAACATAAAGGTGAGTAAATTACAATTTTTTTTTTTTAAATAAATATATTTCATTGCATCAACTTTGTGGCATATACAAATAATGGGACAGTTTCTCAGAACCAACTTCACATTGAGATTTTTTTCCACTTCTGGAAAATTTTCCCGACATTTTGAATTTTGTCCAAAACCTACTTTTACGAACTAGTCCTAGGTTTTTCATCCGATCAGAACCAAACCAGTGCAGAAATATTCTCTGGACAGTGAATATCAATAATTATCAAAAAAAAGTTGAAATTTCGACTCATACAGGTATGAGGACATTGGCGTATTTCAAAAAACATGGCCGCCATCGGCCAATGAAGTTTGAGCACCTAGTAGACAAGGTTAACGGAGGCCGATCGGAACGAAACTCTGTGGGCATGTTCGACCAATGGCCCTAAAGGTCTGAAAGAATTTTGAAAGAAATCGGCCACTGGGGGGCGATATCACATTTTTCAAGTTTAAAAATGATTGTATATTGCACGATATTTCACACATTCACTCAAAATGCATATCATTTGATAGAGCGCCTATCTATCACATGAAAAGGATTTTTTTTGGACACACACAGAGAAGCAGCCTGCTTATTTCCTCATCATGTCAAATTAGAAAAATCCACACGCTGACCCTCAGTGACCCTATTCGGTCTCAAGGATTTCATTCTACTGACACTAATGCAGGAGCTGCTGGGAATGACAGGTATGTAGACATGTTTTTCTTACTTTTATTAGGAGAAAGGTTTGTGAAACACAACCAAGGTGTTCAAATGTTGAAATTACAGCATAATCTTAATTACATTCACTTCAATATTTGTAAGTCTATCTGGTACGAAGTTTGATGCAGCCACTTTGAAATATGGATTCAACTGTTTTCAACCTAAATATCTAAAGCAACAAATTGCAAAAGACACCTGCCACACTTAAGTATGCGCTATATTTAGGCATCTCAGCAATGTTCTGTATGAACACAAGCTCTCATAATAAAATGCGATGACGTGCATGTGAACTTGAATTTCCTGCACAAAGATAATCAGATACACGCACATGCAAACAGGTGAGTTGACACACAAAACTCTCTCAACTAGACAGAAGCATTTTCTCAGACAGTTAAAGCTCCAGAACAAGATTCATTCTTGCTCAGACAAAAGTACAAAGCCATAAATTTGTCACTTTGTGATGAAGAAAAAAATAAAAAAATAAATGCAAGGACCTGATTAGTGACATCCAACTGTATTTAACTCCTTGAACTCTGCTAAAGCAATAGTTTGCACAAAAATTAAAACTCTTATTATTTGTTCATCATTTATTTCCTCATCTTGTTCCAAACCTGTATGACTTTATTTCTTCTGTGGAAAACAAAAGAAGATATTTCAAAGAATGCGCTGGCTGCTCTTTTACATGCAATTACAATGAATGATGACTAGAGCTGTAAGAATTGTGCAATTCGTTCACAAACTGGACATCTATAAATCACTCAGAAACTCGCTATAAGCTAATGGATTTAAGGATTTTTTTCTTTTTTTTAATGATTATTACTTGAATACTTTTCTTTGCATTTAATATAAGTATTATTAAAATACAAATAAAATAAAAAAGAAGTAAATAAAAAAAACTTCCAAGGGTTTATTCAGCAATTTGAATAGTAATTTATGCATTTATTTACATTTTTATTTTTTTAATTACCGTATTGACCCGAATATAAGACGATATTTTTTTCGTGGAAATACATCTGAAAAAACGCGGTCGTCTTATATTCAGGGTCTAGACTTTGACATGTCAATAATACACCCACAACAATAGGTGGCGCCAAATACGCATAAAACGAGTGTGCCATGATGTTGGTACAGTTTACCAGTTTTTACCATACTTTCAAAACAAAAATTAAAATAGGAAAAATATGCAATATGAAAATAATTGAAGACAAAATGTGTTTTACTGAGAAAAAACAAGATTTGGTTTTTAAAAAGCCTTTTTCCAAAAGGTACATCTGGAAAAAGGGGGGTCGTCTTATAATCAGGGTCGTCTTATACTCGGGCCAATACGGTAATACATTGGAAATGATTTCTTTATTTTATTTTTAAGTGGCACTCCTGGTTCTCCATATTTTTTTTTTGTTTGTGTTCCATAGAAAAAAGAAAGTCATAGGGATTTGGAACAACAGAGTAAATAATAATAATAGATTAAATAATGAAAAAGTTTAATGGGATACTTCCAAAAACTTTTTAGTTTATTATATTAACAGTTTTTTTTAATGAGGCACAGGTATTGCAGTCAATTGAAACATTGTACCAAATTACTATATTTAAACACAAAAGGGGACAGATTGTTTAGCCTCTTTTCTTTATTTCTTTCACACACCTGTCTTCAGTGGCACCTCCATCTGAATCTTGAGAAGGGAGCTGCTCCTTCTTGACCCCACCCAGAGTGGAATTCTGGGAACGCCTGCTACTGCTCCTCCTGGTTCGACCCTGAATCACATACATTCTCAGACTGATATGTATAGGATAAATGCACAGCACAGCAAAAATTTATCAAGTGTTTCTTCTCTCTGATATCGACATCTGATATCGACAGTGGAGTTGCTGCTAACGCATTGTCATTTTTTATTTTAAATGATGCTGGTCATAAAGTGGTCATAAAATGAGATGCACCTGTGCCTGAGTGAAGGAGGTGGAGGTTCTGGTTTTGGGAAGGCGGCCGAGGGCAGGGCTCCTCTTGGCAGGAGAAGACCTGGCAGCTGCACTGTACTTGCCTGACTCCAAAAGGTAATGCTGAGCCACTTTCAGCAGCCGCGTGAAAACATTCTTAGTGCTCGAGCCTGTAGCCGCTGGAGAAACAGATCACATAAAAGGGAAGTATATGTCTATTAACATTTATATGCACATACACAAAATAAATACATACACAAATAAATATAAAATCAATATAAAATCAAATACGAATAAGTATAACAATTTTATGATTTTTGCACTTTTATCTGGTGACAGCATGATATAAATATAATTAACAAATTCAGTAATGAAATAAACACTTATATACATACTTACAGACACACAAACAAATTAATATGAATTCACTGGTACAAACTGCTCAACTCTCATGTAATAGGAATGAAATTCAAAAATAATAAAAAAATATTAAATAAATAAATACATACATTTCTATGTAAAGTATTCTTGTAATGGCAAAGCTGATATTAATATTAAGCAGCAAAACCATTTTCAGCATTGATAATAATAAATGTTTCATGAGCAAATACATATGCATGTATAATATATATATATATATATATATATATATATATATACATACACAAAGTTTTTTTCTATTTTATGTTTACAGTTTTTTAGTTTATCAACTTATTTTATGCATACATAATATTAATAAATTACAATGAAATACATTTTTAGACAAATATTTTAAAACAAAAGATGAAGTTTGTGATTTATAGTGGCACCAAATGGAACATCAAAAATGTTCTATCTATCTATCTATCTCTAGTGACACCCATAAATCAAACACTTTTGTTTTGAAACTGGTCTAAAAGTGTTTACTTCATTTTTTAGTCATTGTTAAAATACCACATGGAACTGCAATTATAACTATATTTTCATACATTCCAGAGAAAATGTGAGTGGTTCTATTCTTATAGCATGCACATGACTTTAACAGACTAAACTGGGACAAAGGTTATTTTAAAGCCACTTTTAAAGCACTTGGCTCTTTCAAAAGTAAATCTAAAAGAAGTACCGATGGTTGAACTTTTGTGAGCTGCACTATATTTCCAGGTACAAACAAATATCACACCACAGACGGGCCCACAGCACAAAACTGAATGTTATCAGACTCTATCACATTTACACAGGTGCTGCCGGCCTGCTCTTGCTAATACAGGCTGTGTGCTGGAGAACAGATATCCATGCAGGCCACTAATGCCACTAGGGATTCTGTCAGTCCCCTGTAATCTTATCAACACAACATGGAAATGTGGGCTGTATTGTATTTCAAAGCGTCTGTTTTGGTGGTTTTGAATCGGGCAGGTGACAGAGTACAGCTCTGTAAAACTCGAGTGTAATTCGCTTGACATTGAATGCGTGAATCGGTGACCTGAAGCACAGTGTGTCAAGGGTTTTAGCCTATTGTCTTGATTTCTTTTTCTGGGCTTTACGCCAACAGTATTAACTTGTGCTGTGTGATTGGACCCAAGCAATGCTATAATCTCATGGATGATACGGCAGGGTGCCATCTTAAGGTACTAACGCACTTTCGTTATGACACTGTATCCACCTCTCGTAGCAATGACCCATTAGGTTAAGAGTGTGGAGGTCCAGACCTGCCTACATTACTCATAAATCATCTCTATGAACCACCTCACCTTTCTTGGAAGTGTTCCTGGCAACGTCTTGAGAAGGTTTTTCATCTTGTTGTCCATCGCTGAGAGAACTTGTACAGCCTTTTGCGCTTTCTTTTTTCACTTTCTCTGCAAAGACAGATGTGAAACGAACATTTTTAAATGCAATGTATAAGCGTCTAGTAGGACAAAAATGAATAAAATAAATAAATATAAAAAGGAAATACATTTTAAATTAAATTATATAAATACAATAAAAGAAATACATAAAAAGAAATACACACATTTAAAAAAAAGACAGAATTGAGATTTATTAAAATTACAATTAAAAAAATCCAAAATAAAACAAAAAATCATTTAAAAATCAAACTAATTCTACAAATAAAATTAATACAAAACATAAATAAGTAAATATTAACATGTATAACAAGCATGCGCGCACACACACACACACACACACACACACATATACAGTAGTGTGTGTTCGCCCTAAGTGTTATTATTTTGTATGGAAGCTTTTCTGCCTCACAAAAAGCAAAGTAAAGCGAAAAATACCGCACACACATGCCAACTCACTGCAAATTATGGCAGCAGTAAATGTTTGTCGCATTTTTAACTATACAAAGAGTCAAAGATACATTTGAAATACTTCGCAACTACAATTAAACTTTAAACCCAGGCTTTGGAGAAAGCCTTAATTTCACAATCAATCTTCATCAGCGGCAGTTTAAAGGCTTTAGTTCACAGTGGATCTCATAAAAACAAGTTCTGGCAGGTTCATGAGAAAACGCTGGAAGATACTGGAGCTCATCCTACCTCCCTGAAGCACCAAAGGCCCTAAAGGACATATATATAAAAAAGAAAACTTCTCATTTACTGTATTTTCTGATGGATTTTTCAATGACACACAGCTAAAATATGACAAGAGATAAGTTATTGAAACAATTGAAGGGGTATCCCTTGTAGAGATTCAGGGGTACAATTTGGTAGAGAATGAAAGTTAATGGACCACGTCACCACAGTCGACCCAGTGGCATCTGTTTCAAAGAGCAGGATCCAAATACATTAACAGATGCAAAATAAAGGTTTATCCTAATGCAGTAATGACAGGGCTATTCTGAGAGAATCATAAGTACTCCCATCATTTTTGTGCTGCTCGACAGGAGAAATTCTCATTGTATTTTCAACTCCAGTTGACGCCACAAATGGGGGAACGTTCAAATACAAATGGTAAAGTTGGCAGGATAGGATAAAGTCTCATTAACTCATCCACGCTTGCAGACATTCTCCAGCCCTCACATACGCTCTTTGAAAAAAACGCCCAGCTTTAGGTGATGCTGAAAAGCAGCTTTCCTCCAAAATTACTCAACTGATAACCAGAAGGCCACCGCATCAGACTCAGAAAAAGGCTGTGTAAACAATGATAACATAATGCTAACGCATTAGTGACAATACACACACATCTGGTGTGTATGTGTGCTACTGAGCACTCAACCACTGTTATATTATCAGAAGACATTTTAAACGCAGCGTACCGTATATACATAACATCGGTTAGGTTTACCTAGTTTATTTAGATTTCAGAAAACACATTGGATGTTATTGGTAAAATAGGCACAGTTTAGATCTATAACATTCTAAATAATGGTAACAACCTCATTAAGTTATGATCAATGCTTAAAGGGTTAATTCACACAATAATCAAAAATTCTGTCATTAATTACTCACCCTCATGTCATTCCAAACCTGTAAGACCTTTGTTCATCTTCGTAACACAAATTAACACATTTTTGATGAAATCTGAGAGCTTTCTGACCCTGCATAGACAGCAATGCAACGGACATGTTCAAGGCCCAGAAAGGTAGTAAGGTTATTAAAATAGTCCATGTGACATCAGTGGTTCAACTGGAATGTTATGAAGCTACGAGAATACTTTTGGTGCGCAATCAAAACAAAATAACGACTTTATTCAACAATTTGTTTCTCTTTGTCCTTTTTCTTTTCTTTGCCCACAAAAAGTATTCTCGTAGCTTCATAAAATTACGGTTGAACCACTGATGTCACATGAACTACAGTATTTTAATGATGCCCTTACTACCTTTCTGGGTATAATATTATATAATTTTATCTAATAGAAAATTTGACATACTGTGGGAAACCAAGCAACACCTGCGCTTATTAAAACATTACCGTAATACCCCTAGTATCACGAAGATCTTTTAAACAAATACACATATATATCTCAAATCAGAATACAGAAAATACATTTACAAGTCATCCCAAATGATCCATATACAACTATATCAACAAAATATACAAACAAAATATACATATATACCAATAATGATCTCATGACTCCAACAATAGTTATTTACATCAGTTTTTGTGTATACAATCAATAAACATCATTCCCAAGTACTCTTCGAGTCCCCCATATATATCATTAAATTATTTTAAAGGTCACATATTGTACACCTTTCTGGAGTTTTATTTTAGGTTTTGATGTCCTTAAGAATATATATTTGCGGTATAAGTACCAAAAACCATCTCAATATATTTTTACAGCTCCTCTCTCAGGAGCTCTGCTGAGAACAGGTCGATTTTGACCTGTCTAATTAATATTCATGAGCCTATCTTTTGATTGGTCTGTTGTTTTCTGAGTGATGCACGGCCAGGCCAACCACAGATAACTAGGGTCAGCCGATGTCACAGCGCTAGCTGGAGGCAGTAAAACAAAGGGGAAACTGGACTTTTTACGGAAGTCACAACGGTTCGTGAAAAATCACAGCTACTTTATGCAGGCTGTGTGCATTTTACTGTGGACTGACTGTTTTGAAACTTATATGGTAGTTAAATAGCCCCTAGACCTCAGTTATCGTGAAAAAAGCAAGGAAATTTCAGTTTTGACAATATGGGACCTTTAAGAAACAATTCAAAGACAAATCTTCATTCATACCAAGAGGGTGCAGACTTTTAAGATCAAAAATCCACCTACATTCCTTTTGCAAAAGTCTACGTTCTAAATTCCCTCCACTATGAGTCTGTCAAATTTTCAATAGCTATAAAATTTAGGTCTAAGACTGAATGAGACATCTCAACAAAATGGGAAGTTGTGGCCTAATGGTTAGAGAGTCGGACTTGCAACCCAAAGGTTGCGGGTTCGAGTCTCGTACCGGCAGGGATTGTAGGTGGGGGGAGTGAATGTACAGCGCTCTCTCCCACCTTCAATACCACGACTGAGGTGCCCTTGAGCAAGGCACTGAACCCCCAACTGCTCCCCGGGCGCCGCAGCAAAAAAAAACTGCCCACTGCTACGTGTGTGTGTTCACTGCTGTGTGTGTGCACTTTGGATGGGATAAATGCAGAGCACTAATTCCGAGTATGGGTCACCATACTTGGCCACGTCACTTCACTTTCTGTCTTTCAAAATGGTGAGCCACAGGCGATTTTAAGGTAGTGGTAGTGCATACTACGGAGTAAGATTTATGTTTTGCCAATTTACAGACTGCCTTTCTTATCCTCTCCAAAGCGTCATCTAACCACTTACTTGGATAACCCCCAAGTCAAAAACGCTTATACATCAACCACTTTTTGTTCAAAATCAGATTCAACACTACAAATGCGTTTCAAGCGAAGGAACTGAGTGTAAGGTAACAACTTCTTTAAATAAGATGGGTGTGCACTCGACGCATGCAAGATGCTGTTTTTATCAGTTGGTTTAGAATATGAAGTTGACGATAATTTTTCAGATTCCAAAAGCAACTGAGTGGGTGTTGATTTCTAAATTAAATTTAATGGACTCAACCATATTATTCAAAAACCTCACAAAATCATTAAACAGATCTTCCGAGCCCATGAGTCATGAGATCATTATTGGTATATATGTATATTTTGTTTGTATATTTTGTTGATATAGTTGTATGATCATTTGGGATGACTTTTAAATGTATTTGCTGTATTCTGTTATAGATTTGAGATATATATATGTGTTAGTTTAAATTTAACAATTTGTTAAATTTGTGTATTATTTGTGTAATTATTTTATTACGGTAATACATGTTTTAATGAGCGCAGCTGTTGCTTGGTAGCACATGGCACTGAGGAAGGGTTGATACCTGAAAACGTTCTGCACTTGCACTTTTGCACTTCTTTGCACATATTTTTGTGACCTCTGAGCAATAAATGGTATAAGCCTTTTTAGCTGTATTTGGACGAGAATCATAAATATCACCTAATAACTCAAATTAAAGAGCCCTGAGGGCAACACCGCAACTAAATCTATAGAAAACAAGACATCTGATTGAAATGCGTAAAATATTGTGAAGCTCTTCATTTCAAGAGCCTTATGCAACAAATCACATTACTGCACCAGATCAGATCTGCTACCGTCACAATCTGCTTGTGCATGCCATGTTTGGTTGAGTGCAGGGCTGCAGGTCAAGCATATTCCTGCTCTGAAACTGATATCTGCCACTTCCTCTGACGCACAAAGAGCAACAAAGTTGGCCTGACAACCAGTAACCATGGCGTCTGTGCACAGGAACTCTGCAAGAACAAGATTAAACCTGAAGTTTCCTTCTGGACGCCAGCTCCCATTTCATAAAGACCGGATCTCTTGTAATAAAGTACAAAAATAGAATATAAAAAAAAGTATAGTATATAGTATAGTATAGTACAGCATAGTATAGCATAAGGGGGTTTTAAACTAATTCCAATTGTGAAAATACATATTTTCGAATTTTTGCATCATATGTCAAGACTTTATTTGGATGATCCTAAAACTCGGAATGTTAATTTCCAGGATTCAATTTTTAAGAATTTAGATTTTAAATTGTAGAATATCAATGTAGTTTCCTTTTGAACTCCACAACATATAATCACTAAAAGCTCAATAAAAGCTCAATAAAATAAAATGATAAAAAATATTTAATGACGTATGTAGTAAGTTGACATAATACGAATTCACTGGTACAAACAGCTCAGCTCTCTCATGTAATGTTAATGAAAAAAGGCAAAATAAATAAATAATTTAATTAATTTTAAAAAACTAAAAATAAATAAATACATTTAAAATAAATAAATAAATAAATAAAAGCATTCAGAAAATCTGGTAGGGATTGTCATTATTG